TTCAGTCTCCAAAGCATTTATTAATATAATCAATCAACAATAATTAAAAAAACCCCACCTATTTTCTAGTTACTATTCTAGGTGCTGAGGACAAAAAAACAAAAGTGTAACAGTCTTAGCCCTCAAAGAATTTTCATTCTATAGGGGGAGTTCATGTGGTATGTGTGTGAGTACATAGAAAATAAATATATACAAAATAAATAGAGGAGAAGGAAATAGTAGTGAAGGGAAATCATGACAACTTAATGTGGTGAATAAGTTGAGATTTAAAAGAAACTAGGGATTCTATGAGTCAGAAGTGAGGAGGGAGTGCAAATCAGTCATGGGGTATAGATAGCCCCTGCAAAGGACAGGAGATAGACTATTGGGTGTAAGGAATGATAGGTGAGAAGGCCAGTTTGGCTGAACTAAAGAGTACTTCAAGGGGAAATAATGAGTAAGTTATCCCAAAAGTCTCAGTGTAGTTTTAAGCTGTTACTCATTTGTTTAAGTTGTGTCCAACTCTTCATGACCCCACTTGGGGTTTTCTTTGAAAAGATATTGGAGTGGTTTGCTATTTCCTTTGCCAGCTCATTTTATAGACAAGGAAACTGAGGCAAATGAGGTTAAGTGATTTGCCCAGGGTCAAACAGAGTTAGTGTCTGAGGTCAGATTTGAACTAATGAAGATGAGTCTTCCTGACTGGCATTCTATCTGGCACTCTATCCATTGTACAGCCTAGCTGCCCATAGTTAGCTACTAAATTTTAAAATCACACTAAGATTTTTAGAACACCTTACATAACAGATCTGGAAAAATAGACTAGAACCAGGTTATAAATGTATGCCCAGTACCAAAGCCCAATGGTATGAGACTCTCTCTTCATTTGTGGAGATGAATGCCCTGTCCTGTGTGAGAGGTGGGCTGGAGCTGTTGAGAGAGCTCTATCTTCTTTAGTATTCTTCACACTTGGAGTTTCTTTGAACTCTGCAGTGACTTTGCTTTCTTCTGACTTCCAGCTTCAAGAGGGAAGGTGAGGGAAGCCAACTCCACTTTAGTTTGCTGAAGGAAAAGACTGGGAAGATGTAAGAGAGTGGGCAGTTTCTATCATATCCCCAGCTTGCTACACTAGAAACGTCAGGGATTTTCCTCTTGGGTGAGACCTAGGACTCCCTCTCTCTCTTGGTTGAGCTGTGTTACCAACATTCAGGTGGGAGAGTGTCTTCATTTTGTGTTGTCTGATATGTATTCTCACATGTATACTTCCTTTAAATTTTGTTTTTGCTACCAACTTGGATAAATGGGTTTCTTGGCTAAGTTAGTACTTGGTAGGAAAGGGAGTCAAGCCTTGGATATAAATCCTGCTTTCTCCCATACTGAACTGTGATCAGAAATCAGCTTGAATCTGAAAATTCCATCCTCTTGACTATTTAAGGGAGCATATGTAATTCTAGCCCAGCAACCCATTTCTCTGAGGACAGCAGAGAGGCCTCCAGCCCCAACTTCTTACTTCCCCTCCTGGAAGGAATTAAAGTCTCCCTTGGAGAAGGGGAGGCAGCAGAGAAGAGGCTAGATTTATCTGTTTTGCCTTGAGACTTCCTCATGCCATGTGGGGTTAGCTTTCATAATACATAGGCCTTGCTACTTATGAAGCCCAGCAACATAAACATTTATATATGGCAGATTAAAGAAAGGGAACACAGTGTTTCTTTAAAACAAAGAATCCAGTGACCAAGAAAAAAATCCAGTGACCATCAAAAGAAAAATTGAGTGATCCCATGACAAATGATGGTGACATAGAAGTGTAGAACAGTAGCTAGAAGAACTATCATTTTTTCTTTTTTATTGCATCCAGTAGACTGAAGTAAATTTATTTTGTGGCTTTTAACTACTTTGAAGACAAAACCTAGCACATCAACAACTTCCTAGGGAAAGCAGGAAAAAATTCAACCCCTTGAAGATAATCTATAGATTGCATTCAACAAGTGTGAACAGAAGAATAGAATTTAAAGACAAACTGCTAAAGTTATTGTATAATGGATCAATGTTTTAGGTACTGCTAAGGGTTGAGAAGCAATAAAGAGAATAGAATTTGGGAGACTGAACACACCACAAATAGAAATATGTATGAAAAAGAAATCATTCCAGAGATACAATGGTGAAAGAAACACACACGTATACACATCACATATATGTACATATACATATGTACAAACACATGTGTATATGCATGTAGCTAGAGAAATCCAAAAAGTCTTAGTGTAGTTTTAAGATCCCAATTTACGTGTATTCAGGCATAACAAACTCATGTCTATCCCAACACCTACACATCTAGGGCAATCTTCTTCCCTCAGGTCAAAATCATTCAGTCCTTGAGACCTGCAATGAAATGCCAACCCAGATGCCCACCAAGAAAAATGTCCTTGGTCACAGGTTACCTGAAGGAAGATAAAGTAGTATATGGATCAGAAGAAAGACATCAACAGATAAACTGCCCTTTTGATCAGTGGCACAATTTACCTATGCCAGGCCAGCACTCTGATAAAAATAAAGATGAAATGTTTCTAATCCTACTTTAGTAGCGTGGCACAAAGAAAGTCTATGATGCATCATTTTGGTAGGCCTCCTCCAGTTTCATAGGCCTTCTCTCTTGAGATGTCACTCCTCTCCAAATTTGCTCTTTTCCCCTTTTCAAATAATACATGAAACACAGAAAACATACCTTAATTCTCAAACTTGGCTTTATACTTTGTATGAATTAATTCTACTTTAAAATATTGGAGAATACATAAATAATGGAAATGAGGCATTTATAAAAATCAAATTTACATGAAAATATCATGAAGACATGGAATTAAACTTTATATTTTGCTAGGTACCATACAAGACATACAGTGATTGCAGTGGTTTTATAATCCCAAATAGGACAGACTGACCCTAAGCAATGCATGCCTGCACTACTGCAATAGCCTTCTTCGATTTTTCATCGTCACCCTCCCCCCCCCACTTTTTATTGATGCTTGCTCTTCTTGGGACCTTCCTGAGATGCAGTGGGGAAATGAATCAAACACAGGTCCTTCGTGACCACTGGTCCTTTTGAGGGGGGAATTCTTTATTATTTAGTTAACCCATACATTATAGAAGCTCATTTCCCTAGTGTCAGCTACTTCTTGAACAATATCTTACACAAGGGGATTTCTTTCTGGGTGTGTATGTCTGTGTAAATACCATGGTTACACGACTAGACTTTAAAAATTTTATATACAGTGTTAAATGAACTAATGTCCTTAATGGGATGACATCCAATTCAGTACTGAACAGAGGAAGAGGGAGGCCGGTGCTTGGCTGCAGCTACTAGCCCAATGGGGGTAGAGAACAAAGCTTGTGGACTTGTGACATAGCAGTTCCAGTATGAGGATTCAAAGGGCCGCTTGGGAAGAGGAAATAAAAATAAATCAGGAATCAGGTGGGGCCGGGGCTCTTCTGTCTGGGACTGGCTGAGAAGCACATTGTTTGAAGAGTGGGAGTGGAGAGCTTAGGTGCGTCGGGGTGGGGCTTGGATGCCAGCCCCTCAGTTGTGAGGGCAGGGGGCATGGGAGGCGCTACAAATATTAACCTCGGGAATGGGAGTGGCATAGTCCAACAGCTGCAGCAGCATCAAGCTCCTGGGACTGTGGGAAAACCACAGCTAAGCCTCGAGGGACGTTTGGGAGCCCCGAGAAGCTAGCGGCACGCAAGGTGGGGGTGGTCGCAAAGTGGGGTTGGGTCTTGGCCAACCAGCCAAGTTGAATCAGATATCCTTCTGATAGGGGTGGGAAAAAGGAGCACTATATTTGGAGTAGCTGGACCTGAGTTCAAACCCCAGTTCTGCTTCTTATTACTTGTGCGACCTTGGGCAAGTAACTTTCCCTCTTTCGTTTTCAGTTTCCCCATCTGTAAAACCAGCAGGGTTTGAGTAGTGATTTCGACAGCATTAAATCTATGAGCTGAAGCCTTAGGATGGATGCTAACTCTTCGCAAATATTTGAGGAGGCCTAGGTTGTTCTGCTTGGCCCCAGGGGGGCAGATGCAGGATCGATGGCTGAAGGTTACAGAAGTATTTTTAGGCTTGGTATGTATGGATGAAACACTTTTGAGCAGAGGGCTTCGTAGAAAGTGGAATCGCGCTGCTTCTGGAGCTGATGGGTTTTCTCTCTCTGCAAAAGCTAAACGACCCTTGGTTGGGGTGTTGTAGCAGGGCTTTTAGTCCAAATCCAGGTTGAGGCTCTTTGATCCCTTCCAACACTGAGATTCCATAAAAGGGGAGGACACGCTACGGCTGTCAAGGAGAGCCACCGCAATTCCTTCTACACCCAGTGTGAGGGTGTTGGGGAAGGAGAGCGAGTTCCCCAGCGAGAATTGGAAGCGGTGCCTCCTTTCCCCCAGGGCAGTTCTGGGCTTAGGCGGGGCCCCAGGGCTTCGTCTGCCGAGCGAAGCTGTTCCTAGCTGGGAGCAGTGAGCGGCGCTGGGCGCTCACCTAGCTCGCGCCGCGACCCGGCGGGTGGAGCCCGGAGCTGCCACCGCCCCTTCGGTCTGCAAGCGCCTCCTTCTCCCCTTCCCTGCCTGCCTCTCTCCCGCCCCCACCCGCGATTCCCGGCCCGGCCCAGCGCTGCCCGGGCCATGGCGCCCTGCAGGCAGACGGAGGCTGGCTGCGGTGGAAGAGAGCAGCAGTGCCCTCGGCGGCCGAAGCCCTAGAGCTCCGAGCTCCGCACCTGGGCGCTGGCCAGCCGGTGGCTGCGGCTGCCGCCGAGCCTTTGTCCTTTCCCCGAGGGCGCTCCGGGCCGCACTGCCCGTCGGCACCACTTCTCCTCTTCTTCCGTAGAAGGGGAAGGAGGGGAGAAAGGAGCAGAGCTGTAGCCACGGGATAAAGAGCGGCGGGCACTGCTGGCTCTCTCCCCCGCCCCCCCCTCTTCCCTTCCCTCCGCCCCCACCCTGAGGCTCCGGGCTGGAGGAGGACGGAGGAAGCGGCGCGTCGCTCTCTGGAGGAAAGTATTTCACCCACCGGGCAAAGGCTGCCGCTGCTGCCGCCAGCTGCGTAAAAGCAGCAGCCGCAGCAGCCCCCCAGCAGCCGGGGCTCAACGGGTTTCCATTGCCATGGAAAGCAGAACCGGGGCCGGGGGCGGGAGTGCGACAACCCAGTTTGTCTGGACTGCCGCCGTTTAGATACCCGAATTGCCTGCCTCCAAACTGCGGAGAGGAAGGTAAGTAGCTGTGGGCTCTGTCCCCTTTCTGTGGGTGCCTTACCCCTCCGGGGTTCATTGTGTAGACAGAGTCGGGGGCGAGTTCGGCCGGTTCACCACCGGCCAACCGCAGCCTGCTGGGCTGAGTCTAGCGAGGGAGCACGTTGAGGATTCCGGGTGAATGAATAACCCTCCCCCTCCCAGCCCTTTCTTGGCCGGGTCCGCCTCCCTTCCCTGGATGCCTTCCCTCCGGGAACCGGAATGATTGAACTCCCTTTGAAGCGAATCCACTCCCTGAGAGAGGGTGGTTGGGAACCCTCGTCTTGATCATAGTTTTCATCTAGTTTTCTGGGGAGGAAACAGTGTCATGTGAACACTCTTAAACTCTAGGGGTGTGTGTGTGTGTGTGTGTGTGTGTGTGTGTGTAGGGGTGTGTGTGTGTGTGTGTGTGTGTGTGTGTGTGTGTGTGTGTGGAAATAAACCCCACAGGAAGCCGGCTTCAGGGAAAGATTGTTGGAATGCATTGCGTGTACGTGTGTGTGTGCGCGCGCGCGCGCGCGCGTGTGTTTAATGGCTCTGTCCTGTCGCTAATCCGATGGAGGTATTTTTGTTTTGTTTGTAGCGAGGAAGGTTTTCAATAGAATGGATCTAAAATCTGGAAGATTCTCAAGAACTGAACATTCCAACCTCATATATTATGGACTTTCCTACCGGACTTAGCTTTCCCTCGTTGGAGTTGGAAGGTTGAAAGGATCAGGACCAAAACTGTAGCTGTGCTTTACTTTTACCTGATTTTTAAAGTCAGAGTCTTTGCTTTACTGTGCATTCAGTACTGAAAGGGGGCTGCTCTCAGGACTACAGTGGGCTGGGAGGCTTCATTTCGTAATGTGCTTTGAGTTAAATAGCACAGATCATAGGACTTCATACATTGAAGAACCCGTAGAGATGAGTGTGTACAACTCTGTTTCTTAGTTTCCTCATGTATAAGGTGAAAGAGAAATTCCTTGACTCTTCAAGGTCAAGCCTAGTGGCAAGGCCAGAACTAAGAGGCTAACTCCAAGTTCCTTTAGTTTGTTCTGCTATAACACTAGTGGATTAAAACCAGTCTGTTTCTTGATTACTTCTAGACTTGAGGTCCTAACCTTCTGAGATTCACGTTCTTAGTTTAACTAGAAAGTGAAAGCACAAGTGTGTATAATACCGGTATCTAAGATGCACTTTCATTATAGATTGTGCACTTCAAAGGGAGTAGTTGAGATTGAGAGAAAGTATAAGTTGAGGGCATTTTGACCTGAGCTCTGATACAGCTGAATTTACAGCAATAAGAAACTTCATATTGAACATGTAGAACCTTAAACTCAATCATGTATTTTAATATTATTCTTGTGATTCTTTAATAGCACAGAGTGGAATTTGTGTCCTTTCATTAACTTCTACTTAGAATAAGTTGCTATTTTCAAGAATTCTATGAATTCAATAAAGAAACAGTTATCAGGTGTCTACCATACATTCTAATTGCTCCTTATTCATCTGCACACTCTGATACATAGAGTGGTCCACTTAATGCTATTCCTCATGCATGGTACTCCATCACCTACCTCTTTAGTGTCTTTGCATTGACAGTTTCCCCTACACCTGGAACATCCTCCCTTCTGAACTCCTATCTCTCAAAATCCTTACTTTCTTTCAATGCTCAGCTCAAGTTCCAGCTTTTCTACATGAAGATTTTCTGTATGTCTGTGCCTTCCCTTCAGAATTATTTTGTATCTATTTTGTTTTGTTGTTGTTTTTGTTGAGTCTGACTCTTCGGGACTCAATTTGGGGTTTTCTTGGCAAAGATGCTGGAGTGGTTTGCCATTTCCTTCTCCAGCTCATTTTGTACAGTTGAGGAAACTGAGGAAAATAAATAAGGTGAAATGATTTGCCCAGGGTCACACAGCTAGTAAATGTCTGAGTTTGGATTTAAACTAGGGTTCTTTTGACTCCAGGCAGCTAGGTGTTGCAGTAGATAGAGTGCCAGACCTGGAGTTAGGAAGACTCATGAGTTCAAATGTGGCCTCAGACAATTACTGTCTGTGTGACTCTGGTCAAGCTACTTGATCCTATTTATTTGCCTTGGTTTCCTCATCTGTAAAAAATGGAGCTGGAGAAGGAAATGGCAAATTATTCCAATATCTTAGCCAAGAAAATTCCAAATGGGATCTCAGGAGCCAACATGACTGAACAATTACCTCCTGACTCCAGACCTGGCACTCTATCTACCGTGCTACCTAGCAGCACCCACAGAATATCTATTTTGTATATACTATATATGACAGCTAGATGGCATTGGATAGAGTTCTAGACTTGGAGTCAGGAAAACCTGAGTTCGAAATCTGCCTTGGACACTTAGCTAAGTAACCCTGAGCACTTACCCACCCTCAACCTTGGTTCCCTCATCTGTAAAATGGAGGTAATGGCTTGTCATGAGGATTAAATTATATTACACCTGTAAAAGTGTTTTGTAAACCTTAAAACACTATATAAATGCCAGCTATTATATGAGTTGGCCTGGGAGCATGAGTGGTTAAGTGGAAATCATAGGTCCAGTTTAAAAACAAATATATGTATGAGTTGTCTCTCTTGGACTTTTGGCTAGATGGTAATCTCCTTGGGCCTGTTTTCACTTTTATTTTTGTATCTTCAATACCTAATATAGCCCTTGGCACATTGTAGGTGCTTAATGAATAATTGTCCTCTGATTGTTATGCAAGGAAGGCACTGTGCTAGGTTCTGTGCATACAAAGATAGATATGAAAGGGACTACTTTCAATCAACTTATTGGGGGTGGGTTGAGGGTAGAGAAGACACAAAGGAGAGTGTATTAAGTTCAAAGGGAAGATACAAAGTAGTTTGAGAAATTTGAAGAGAGATCATTTTTCAGAGTAAGAGTCAGGAAAGAATATAATAAATGAATGAAAAATCATTTATTGAGTACTTACATCAGGTACCATGCTGAGCATTGGGCATACAAATACAATCAAATAAGACAGTATCTGCTCTCAAGGAGTTCACATTCTAATCAGGTAAGACAGCACATAGATCTGGACAAAGGGTGGGGGAGTAAACACTGCTTTGGAAATTGCTGGGAATTATATGGTGACTTGGGTTCCAGGCAAGAAAAAACAAAGATTCACCAATCAGGACCATGGGTCCTGATAATATCCATATCAAAGTTGTCGAAGTCCAACTTCTGGTGGGAGGAGGATGAGGAAGATGGCTAGTGTGGAAGAAGAAAGTGGTGCTGGAGTTGGACCTTGAAGGATCATAGATGATGATGATGATGGCTAACATTTATATAGCTCTTACTATGAACCAGACAATGTGCCAAGTACTTTACAATGATTATCTTGTTTGATCCTCACAACAACCCTGATAGGTAGATGCTATTGTTATTCTCATTTTCATAGATGAGGAACATGTGGCTGAGAGGTTAAGTGACTTCTCTTGGGTCACACAGCTAATAAGCATCTAAGGCTGGATTTGAACTCAGGTCTTCCTGATTTCCAGGCCTGGTGCTTTATCCACTGCAACTAGGTGGAAAGAACCTCAAAAAACATATTGTCCAAGCCCTCTCGTTTTGAGGGAGGGACTTAAAAGAGTAGAGATGGGGGTTAGAATGGAGCTCATTCTAGGCCTGTGGATAAGGACAACAAAGGCAGGAGGATGAGAAGGCAACATGAGAATAGGAAATGGAGACTAGTCCAATTTTGTTGGATTATAGAATAAGTGATGGAACAGTACATGTTTAAGCAAGAAGAGGGCTTGGATCTTAGGATCAGGAGTTTCTCTTCTATTCCATTGGCAGTGGAGAGCTACTGAAAGTGTATGTTGATACCTTTGATCCTGCTTGTTAATGCATGGCAGAACAGAATGATCCCACAATTATCCACCCTCCCTTTAACCTCAAATTTTTCCCCAGCCTTTGGTTAATTCCTTCTCCCTAGAAATCTCCCAGATCTCTCCAATCCTTAAAACAAAAGAAGGCAAAACAAAATTCACTACCATCACCTCAAGCTATTGTCCTATATCTCTCCCTTTCACAGTCAAACTCCTAGAAAAAGCTGGAGGGGAAACAAACATTTAGTGTCTGCTGTGTTCCAGATCGTCAGTTAAGTTGTAGTGAATGTTGTGAGCCTGTGATGTTTCTTAGACTCCATTTTGTAACATAGAACCCATCTCTAATTTTGACTTCTGCTTGTTTTCTGTGTGACTTGCTGTGGCTAGCTGGCTTGCTGAATCCATATGACCTGGCCTTCCCTGACTGTGTATCATGCTAAATGACCATTTCTTAATCTGCTTCTTTGTATAAGACCATCACTGTCAAGGTGGTCCAGGGTTATTAGAACATTGGGCAGTCATTTACCTATTCTCCATCTAGATATAAGCACTACTATCACCTAGCTCCATTCAATGCTCCACTGAAATCTCAGTCAGTGGAGAAATCACTGCCAGTCCCTGGACTGCATGGTTGTCTCCCATTCTCAGCTGATGGCCAGAAACCAGCTCTTTCATCCTATAGGTATTACTTAACGCCCCAAGTGGGACTCTCCCTTCCCCACTCCCCCCAATATTATTTCCCTCTTTTTATCCTATTCCTTCCTATAGGTTTTGCTACTTGTGCTGCTGGCCTCTGGACCCTTCTTTCACCCACCACTGACCTCTGGTAGTGGTAAGTGTTAACCCATTACTAATAATGCTTCTCGAAATGACTCTTGGAGTTGGAGTTGTCCCTTCTTATCAGAATCTAACCCAACTATATAAAGAGTATAAAGCTGAGTCTGGACCACTAGTATTTTAAGTCATGTTGCTTACCAGAACTAGGAACAGGACTCTTGGCAGCCACACCTTCAAGGATAGGGCAAGGTCAACAGCTCTTCTGGTTACCTCCTATTTTCACCAAAGAGAGTAAGAGCTGACTGTCTAACAGTGATAGGGACCTTTTCTTCTTAAGCTGGTTATTTCCTATTCACACTGAAGAGAGCAAAGGCAGAGGATCTGATATTCATGCCCCAGTGACAGGAAATCCTTCTCCTACCATGGTCAAGGCAAGGCCTTTACCTCTGGTGTTACATATAAGTACTTTACAAAAATCATTTGATCCTCGTATCAACCCTGCTATTATTTCCCCCAGATAGGAACTCAGGTCATCTTGACTCCAGGCCCAGTGCTCTATCCACTGTGCCACATAGCTACATCAAAGAGCAGTATATTAAGTAGATAATAAGAGTTACACTAAGATGAGGGTTAGCAGGATGAGAATGATGAAAGGTCAAAAGAATCAGGGGTAACAAGTATAACAATAATGATAACTTATATTTGTATAATACTCAAAGTATTTTAAAATCAGATCATGGTTAATAGATTGGTAGAATAGGGATTTTTAACATGTTGTTGTTCAGTCATTTCAGTCAGATCTGACTCTTCATGACCCCATCTGGAATTTTCTTGGCAAAGATATTGGAGTAGTTTACCATCTCCTCCTCCAGCTCATTTTATAGATGAGTAAACTGAAGCAAACAGCGTTGTGACTTGTCCAGGGTTGCACAGCTAGTATTTGAGGCTGGATTTGAACTCAGGTCTTTCTGACTCTAGGCCTGGCACTCTATGTACTGTGCCACCTAGCTGCCCACCTTTGACTATAGTAGACTTTAGTTTAGTTGAATAAGGCTACTTTAAGGTGAAGAGACAGCTAGGTTTAGATATAATGGATAAAATACTGGATTTGGGGTCAGAAAAACCTGAGTTTAAAATATGCCTCTGTTACTTACTAGCTGTGTAACCCTTGATAAATCACTTAACCTATGTCTCGATTTCCTCATTTTTTAACATGATGGTAATGGACTCGAGAGCCCTTCTAGATCTAAATCTATGAACCTATGAATTGTAGGAAAATTAAGGGATTAGAACAGATGGAAAGATCATGATTAGAACACTGGAATTTTGAAAGTGAAATACTTTTGAATGCTGATCTGGTCTAAAGTGTGACTACGCTGGACAGTAATTGAAGTAGTACAATTGTATTGAAGATCTTGGGAGTTGAGCCAAAGAAATCATGGTTTTAGAGGTGTCATCAATGGATATTGAAACCTTTAGTAATGATGGCTGAGAAAGGGGTCAAGGGGAAGACTGTGATCTAGATGCCATAAAGTTGGAGAAAAGTGTGAGGGTTTCTAGAAGTCATAGATGACAGAGATGAGGGTAAGGATATCATTGTTTATAATCAGATGGCATGTACTTCAAAGGAGAGGTTATAGAACAGTATTTGAAGAACAAGGCTCTGGAAGTGGTAGTGAGGAATGAGTACACCAGGATGAAGTGAGAAAGATGTAGGTGATATTAGAGAGAGCTATTAGAGATGTGGAATCCTTAGAGAAAAGTCAGGTTTCACTTGATGGTCTGAGGTGGAAAACATATGACAAGGAGAGATTGAGGATAAAGTGAAGTTTAACAGTGGAATAAAGATTACAAAGAGCCCAATGAAAATGATGGGTAGAGGCTATAAAGATTGGAGGGAATGTGGGGCTGGGTTGAATGGAATGGCAGCGTGTATGAGATAGCCACGCTATGTGATATAGTTGCATGACAGGATAAAGGAAAAAATTAGGAAATGAGCTAGCACAGTATCAAAATTTTATGTATTTAATTTTAAATATGAAACAAATTGATAAAAAATTCTGAAAGACCTTTCAGTTATACATTTTCTATTTCACAGGAAAAATAATGTAGTGTGTCCTTTTTCTGCTTAGTAAACATTTAATTATTCAGTATTCTTATTCCTTTTGTCTTTGTATATAGACTTGATTTATAATCCACATTTTTTTTTTTACTTTATCTGTGATTTGTTTAATATAGAGAACTCCCAATAAGGAAATTCCTTCAACCAATGTAGGTTGGCACCATCTTTTCTGCATCGTATATTCTTAGAGAGTTGCCCATGGCCTTGCAAATTTGAATTGCTTAGGGTCACAGAGGCAGTATGTGTGAAAGGCAGGATTTGAACCCAAGTCTTTTTAATTCCAAGATTAGCTCTGTATCTATGCCATACTGCCTGTCATATAGCATTTTCTTAGTGGTATAGTGTGGTAAAATTGGAACACAGAGACTAAATTCGTTTGGCTGAGAGAAATCTCTGAGTGAAGTGGGAAAAGAAGGCAGAAGTGAGAGATGTAGAAGGCAGAATTGACAAGATTTGGCAACTGATTGACTGTGGAATGAAGGAGAGTGAGGAGACAAGAATGACACCTCAAAATTTTGAGGTGTGAACATAGATGACTAGAAGAGTGGTGGTGCCCTTGAATGTGGAAGTTTAGATGAAGATTGGGTTTGCAGTGAAATATAATGTTATGTTTTGGACATGATGAGTTTGAGATGGGACTTTCAGTGTGAAATATCTAGCAGGTAATTGACGAGTGTATTATGCAGTATATATTTCTAACTCACCCTGGTATGTGGTTCCAAGACTCTGGATTAACTTGGTATCAAAAACTTGTTGTTGTTGTTTTGTGTCTCACCTCATGACCCCATTTGGGCTTTTTTGGCAAAGATACTGGAGTGGTTTGCCATTTCCTTCTCCAGTTGATTTTACAGATGATCAAATAAGACAAATGTGGGTAAGTGACTTGTCCACGGTCACTCAGGTAGTAAATGTTTGAAGCCAGATTTGAATTCAGGAAGAGGAGTCTATTAATCACTTATTTCCATTTTAACAAATATTCTTTTCAGTTGGATTTAGGCTGTAACAGTTAATCAATCCTGGGAGGTACCTGCCTTCCTCTCGCCCATCCCCACCCCACTCTGCATTTTTCCTTCCACCACATACACCAAAAAAGCAATAAACCAAGTCATGTAACTGTATCTCTGAATGTATGACTCTAATTTATGACTGTTTTTCTTTAAAAAGGAAGAAGTAATTTTCAACTTATAAAAAGTAAAATGTGCCTTCCCAACAGGTGATTTCTAGCAGTCATTACAGACTATTATAACTTGAATTGACTTAGAATGCTTGCTTATTGCTCTAAAGCAAGCTCACTTTTCATTTTGCAAACTTTGTTTGTTACAGATTTAAGCTTGTAGGAGACATGGGCCTTCTAATCAATACGTATAAGTAGGAGTTTTTAAACATTTCTTAAAAGTGCTTGGCTTTTGTCAGCAACTTAGTTATGTGTTTGGGGCACCTGCTGCCTCTCCAAATTCAGTTGCATTTGAGCTTACTGTAAGCATCTTTATGTCTTGGTAGGGTGGACCATGTCATCTACTTGTAGCCCCCTCCCTTTCTTATCCACCCCCCCACAACATAATGAGCATTCAGTCCTGTAGACTGACTTCTTTGTTAAGAATTTCTGACACAAATAAGTGATCAAATATAAAAAACAGCTGTGCTCCGCTTACATTTGTTATAAACAACATATACTTCAAAAGATGTCTTTTGAAAAATTTCAACAATGTGATTAATGCTTCCACCAATACATTATTGCTATGAATAAATTTTAAAAACAATTTATTGAGCTCTTAATATGTGTTTGGTAAGGACAGCTAAGTGATGCTGTGGATAGTCAGGAAGACTCATCTCCCTGAGTTCAAATGTGTCTTCAAATACTACTCTGTGACCCTGGGCAAGGGTTAACTCTTTTTGTCTCAGTTTTGTCATCTGTTAAATGGAATGGAGAAGAAAATGGCAAACAGCTCTAGTATCTTTGCCAAGAAAATTCCAAAGGGGTCATGAAGAGTTGGACACTGGAAAACGACTGAACAAAAATGAGCTGAGCACTGTGCTAAGCACTGAAGATACAAATGTAGATGTCAGATAGTCTCTTACTCTTAAAAAATTTATAGTCTATTTGGGAGAGGTGATATATACAGTTGGAGTGTTGGCCAGAGAAGGGAATTTTGGTCTAGAGAGTTACAGGGATTGCAAGTTGGACAGTCTGTTGACATGCCTTTTCCAGAAGTGATGGTAATATTGATTGAATTACTGTGACTAGAGTAGGAGGCAGAAAAACCAAGGGGAGAGAGGTGGTATAGGTGTCCTCTGTCTGATCAAAAGGAAAGATGGCCGAAGTAGATGATTGATGGCATATGGATTATGGTCTGATCTGGGGCTGGATGGATATAGCGGTTTAGATAAGTTCCTATTTACTTTGTCATCTATCAAGATGGTTTGGCTCCAGGGCACACTGTGGACAAAAAAATTCACCACCTCATCAACAAGCTTTTTTGGTGATGAGAATCTTTGAGCTTGGTGCTTGTATGATACTCCTTCTGAATCTGGACTTCTTTCTTCTTGGTAATATCAACCAGAGGTTATGCTCAGCTGGCATTGTCTTTGAGACCCTAGGGTCACAACGAGGAACCAGAGAAGAATTTTAGCATAGGAGACAACAGATACTTAAGTAGAAAATATATTTTTCTGCAATATTTTAATGCAAATAGATCCAAGAAACAGTCAAAATCATGTTGGTAAGTAGAAAAGTCTACTAGAGATGTTTTTTGGATAGTAAAGTTTTAGCGTTTAAAAATTTTTGTGTTCTCTTTGTATGAGCATTGAATCACAGAACTTAAGAATCAGAAGGCAGTCACCTCAGTAGTCACCCAGTGTGACCTATAAATGAAGGATACCCCACTAAAATGTACCTGACAAGTAGCCACCCAGTTGAAGACCTCTCAGGAAGA